GGTTAACCTCTCAGTGTGCGGATCAACCGACACCTGGGTGGCGAATGCGACCCTCCAAACCATTAGGTACCACATAGTCCGCCGTTATACTGAGCGCTCATGTTCTTACACATGATTAATTGTTCTAACGACCCCAGCATCGCTATGTTATTTATGCTAAGCTTCGCAGATGATGTTTGACTACCCAGTATTGAAATAGTTATGAACGGATGGAAAAAGAGACTAGGTACGAGGAATCTTGAGACAGAGAATCGCATGGATAAATTGATCGTCCTAGTCAACCGGCGTAGGGTCGCGCTTGGGAGATCAGCGCCCGAAGTGTTAATTCACACACAAGTTTGAATCGGGCGTTAACCACGCGTACCGCCTATGCTACAACGAACAAGAAAATGCCCTTGGCTGATCCACCTCTTTGACCGCCTGAAAATATCTCGCATGTGAATCATAGCTTAACGGGGATACGTCCACCTAAGGGATGGTGACAACTCCCACAGATAGAGGAAAGTTTTACCTCACGTGACTCTATCATGTCGTAGGGGTTCCCAAGAGGTATAGTTGGCACACTTGGCTGGAGCGACACTGCACCAACACGTTATGTCTCCCAACTGCCAAGTAGACAATGGATAGATGAGCAACTGTAATCGCCATCATCTTGGTGTGAGTGGCGATCACATATGACACTCTCTTTCTTTTTTGTTCTTTTCTTCGAGCCTGAATCGGACTGAGATAGCATCCTATTAAAACTGTAAAAGGTTTATAGACGTGATGCAACACAACCGGGAGGGTCCCCGTGCGGGACCGACGCGCTCGACATTGTGTACCTACTCATGACCAAGATGGGAGCTCTAGGTGATGACAGACAACCACAGTGAGTGGACAGGGTCGACTTGATGACAGAGGTATGAAGGCAGATGGTGGTAATGTACCTGCTAATGACAGCGACTAGAGAACCTCCAGGTGCTGTATAGCAAAGAACGACAATTATAATTGTAATACCAACCACAAGCAACAGGAGAGGGTCTAGCTGATGACCGAGGTATGGGGACTGGTAGTGGCCACGTACCTATAATGACAGAGAATAGTACCTCCATTGGATATAATGAACAACGACCACAACCAACCGAAAGTACTGTGCCAGTGGGTATACTAGGGTTGCTCAGGGGACGTTATAGGTTAGACCTTGGCAAGGAGGGCCCATTGGACACTGCGGACTCCAACCCGGGGGGTGCTCCTATCACCCTCTGTGTAGTTGGCTGGCAACAGATGCCTTTTTTTTTTTTTTTTTGTTGAAGACACTGCCTGTGACATCTAGGGTGTGGATGTCAAGCTCCCTGCACGGGGTGCCTGGGTAAGTTTGGGGCCTGTAGACAGAATTCTTATGCCTGTAGTGCCCAAAGTAGCCGTACAACAGCGCTCTCTCAAGCAGCTCCTTTGGCCAAAAAAAAATAAAAAATCTTCCACTTAATTTTGAAGCCATTCTTTTCAGCCAAAAAAAAAAAGAAAAATCCTCAAAGATGGTGGTGTCAAAACTTGCTTGCCCACTCACTAATTTGGTTTTTCTCTCTTTTCACTTTTTGTTTTTCCTTTATTTCGAGGCATGAAAAAATATATTATTTTTTCAAACTTTATTTGTAGATTCTCTATTATGCAAGATACACATGTATAAATTTTCATGGCATTTGTAACAGCCAAAAAAAAATGAAAAATCACCAAAGATGGCGGTGTCCAAAACGTGCTCGCCCACTCAATAATTTCATTCTCATTTTATTTTTTCTAATTTTCATTATTATTATTTAGTATTTGATTTTTATTTCAAATTTGGTAAGGAATTTGGATGTAACGTTGAGGCAAATGTTGTTTAGTTTATTCT